ATTGGTAGGAAGACTTAGAGGAACGCACCTTGTCCTGAGTCCATTGTATGCATAATCATTTCAAAAGTCGTACCGTGGACGTGGTACATTCCCATACGTTTCGCCGATACTTTGACCAAACGTATGCTAAACAGTTATGGTATCTTTCTTTTTGCCCTGACCTATTCACATTTCCTATATCCTCCAATCACGCCTTTACTGTCACAATTCTTTACTTGCTTAATTAAATGTGGTACGGTGTGCCACTTTGAGCGGCTTTCATCAGAACCCATCCGCACTCCACGCTGGCCTTCTCACCCCCTTTAATCCTTGTGCTTGGAATGTTGATCAGAATATGCCATATTGTTATGCCGTCCTCCTCTAAGTCTTACCACAGTCTGTCTCTTGCCCCATAGAATCCATCTGCAATCTCTCCGGTTCAGGTATTTCTCTCTATCTGCAACTCGAAGTGTTATTACCCCTCCTCTGCGGCTGGGTGACTAATTCGAGGCTAATGCCTCTGAGTAAGTCTCATGGTCAGGCCTTTGCCACATGGACCACGTCTCTTATAAAACCTACTATTAGCCCACTAGCTCCCATCGCCGCCGCGTCTATCCTGTTTCTATCTTTAATACCAAGTCTATGACTTGCCATGCCCTAGTCTCTTGTATGCCAACCCACAAATCTTGTGGTTCTGCTTGCTTTGGTTAGGTTAGGACGGCCAGCCATTTTGCCGTATCAAATTTTTTTGTTGGATTGTCGATAAAGCAAAGCTATATTTGCTATGACGATCGACTACATTACTTAGTTTTTTTCATCAGTAGGGCCTCGAGACTACCAATAAATCAATTATGTGAGAAGAAGTCATTTCATATTCAGGATTTTGTTTGTCTGGAAAATTTCTATTGGCTTCTTACTCTTCCGCTTAGCAGTGAAGTCCTCATATTCTGTAAAATATTGGATTTCAGACGACTTTATCTGGCCTCCTATAATGATCATATGTCCAGTCACCTCAGATTTCTTAGACTAAAGGCAAGTGGTTTTCTTATGTTACCTATTTCCTGTTAGTCTTGAAACTCTACTTAAATACGAAAAATAAGTAACGTAGTCGATTGCTATAGCAAATAAACGTTTGCTTTATAGACAATTCCACTAAAGAATATGATACGGAAAAGAGTCTGGTCTTCTTGATATGCGCATCTGCCCCGTGACCCAAAGGCACTCGTGGCAATGTGGCCGCACGGTTAACGTGTCAAGCTCATTTTCTGCACTTTCACGGTTAGACTCCTGCTAGGGGGTTTATAAGACCGATGCGAGGTCGAAACTGCAGTCCACCCTCGATGAGAGCAACTTTTGGGAAAGCAATGCTATGTGAAATTCAATGTAAACGTAAGCTCTACTCATATCCTTGTGGGAAAATTCTACCGCTAGTCCTTCACCTTAAACGAAATAGGGTGGATACATCTCATATTAGTACTGCTGAAACCTATAAAGTATTAGGTTTTTCGTGGCCTGCATTTATACAAGTTATGAAACTGGATCCATTTTGGGATCAAGAGCTCTTGTTTAATTTTAATTTATTTTTGCCCTATACGAAAAGTAATTTGACTATTTTGAAATATTAATCAATTGAAGTGGGTTGACCTCGTTGTCGCAACTTGGTCTTTTTGTTAGGGCGACTTAGTAGAACGCACCTAGTCCGAAGTTGTCTGCCATAGTAGTTGTCATGATTCCCAGCATCAAACTTCGGACTAGATGCGTTCTACTAAGTCGCCCTGACAACAAGACCAAGTTGCGACAACAAGGTTAGCCCACTTCTTACATCGAAAGGAGACTGCGACCATACCAGAGGGCACAACAGCTTGGTCTTAATATCTTCAATTAATCAATAAAGTTTCTGTTTTATTTTTTTCTTAAGAACTATACTTTAATATCTTTCATTATTGCGTAGGTTATGGCCAACAACGGCGTTTCTCATCTGGTCGTACCGGACGAAAAGGTTGCACTCTCTCGCGTTCTCGATTGGCTCTCTTTCGTTCCTTTAAAAGCCAAAGATCGATTACTTGTACTCCAACGTCCACTATTCGGTCAACTTATTCTCCAGCTCCTCGAGCCAGCCCTGAATGAAGCAAAGATAGCCCTTGCCGCCAAGAAAAAGGTCAGGAGATTACCTCTGAGAAACATTTTAACCTTTAATGGACTATTCAATGTATATACGACCTAGTTTTTTGCTTAACGAAGTTATAATTCTCTATGATGATAAAAATAACTTCTTATGCTAAATTAATTAATACTTAAAGGTTTCCTGCTATTTACTTTCCTAATATAGCTATCGTTCTCCTTTCGTAACAGTATATTCGTAATACTAAGATGATATTTACTAATCCCCCTCTATCAGGAAACATAGATTTCTATCAAGTCCAGTTTTACAATCAATCTTCTGTGAGCATGGCTATCGTAAACTGGCTTTAGCCCCAATCAGACGTGTAACTCATGGCAAACGTATGGCCCTATGATTTTTCAGATAAATCATTACTTTATTTTCATTTACCTAAAAATCGAACTCTTAAATATGAAATAAGGACAAGATAACTCATCCCTGATCCACTTCACATAAACATTCTATATATGCTGAAATAAAGGGTTTC